TAATAAGAAATATCAATGACTGAATTAAAGGTTATAGTAATATAGTCCTAAATGTTAATAGGTAGACAATTCGTAATTTTTTACTTTGGAATACCTGTATCGGAAATGACAAGAATTGGTATATAAGTAAACTTCTCAGCTTTTAAGTACCATATTTAATAAATCTACAATGAAGATTACATTAAAGTACGAAGAGTTGTGTTCCGTTTTATGGAGTATATCTTCAAAAGGACCAGAAAGAATTGAAGACATTTCAAATTATATAAAAACTACATATAGTAGAAAAGTAGATAAAACAGGCATATCAAAAATTGAAAACTTTTTAAAACTTTTTGATGTAAAAAGTAAGTCTGTGGATGGAAATCAAAAGAAATTTCGATTAAAATTTTGTAGTTGGATGGAAACTACTACGGAAATCTCAACTTACAACACATCAATAGGAGCGCCTTGCAAGTCATACGAAGACTTATTTTCAAGGTAAAAAAAAGAGGGTCACACAAAAACTTTTTTCAATCTCAAATGAGGAAATTGCTGATACATTTAACGAAATGCTGAAAAAGGAAAACCAACATATGGATATCGTACATATTGCAACTATTCTTCTTAATGCATCACCAAAACGACTTAAGCGAATTGTGGAAAGTATACCAACTCCAACATCATAATCAAATTTTACTGAAGAGGAAGCAATAGCGCTTATGTTGGAACTGGCTCTCAGTCGAAATAAGTACCAAATATTAAGGAAAGCTCTGCATGAAAAAGGACACAATATATTACCATAATACAAGGCGATCCAGGAAAAAAAACAAACTATCCTACTAAATCAACAAAAAATAATGAAGAATTGAAAGAACTGAGAGCTGCGGAAAAAGCAGAATCCAAGAAGAATTTAAAGTTCAGATGGGATTAAACATCGACAAACCACTTTCAAGTTGCGGTAGTACAAATGACGGTAATACGTCGAGAAGGTTTTTTCGTGATTTTGAAATTACTTCAAAAATAACTGGAATCGACAAGGAGTTGCTTCGAAGAGTTAAAACTATTTTAATGGCACCGAATAGTAAACATAAAATTAATGAAAATTGATTTGGGGAATACACATCTGAAATTTCTAAATTACTTGTATCTCTGTATCCATGGAGGGAACTAACACCAACAGTACACAAAGTATTGTGTCATGGTCAAATAATAATTGAATCAAATATTCTTCCACTTGGAGAGTTAACAGAAGAAGCCCAGGAAGCGAGGAATCGAGATTTTAAGCATGTTCAACTATTCAGCTCAAGAAAATGCTCCAGGCAATCACAGAATGAAGATATTTTTAATAGTTTACTTCTATCTTCTGATCCTGTTCTTTCAACTATGCGAAAAAGATGGATTTGTTATGAAACTCTATCATCTCAAAACAAGGAAGATTTAAAGGACTTATATTACCTTCTGGATATGTATACCGATATGACAGATTATTTTATAGAAAATAAGTAGTGTTAGGAATTAACTATATAAGTAGGTTGTAAGAATTAATTGTATTATGTTTAAGATAAACAGTTCAAATAAAACAAGCTATTATACTAACTGATGATATTGTATTAAATTGTGTTTTATATTTCGGTGGGCGGGAAAGGTAATTTGTGTAGGGTGATTTAGGTGTTGTTGTGCGTGGCTCATAATAAAATTATAATTTTTTTTATTTTATATACAATATTATAATAAAATAATTAACTAAATAATTTTTAAAAATTGTCCAAATATTTTATTCAACACCAAATGTATGTTCTGTCATACTTAATACTAAAATATGAAAAAGATGAAATTAAAGGACACAGGTTTAAATGAACATATTTTTGAATGTAATTGAGATATTGGCTTGAAATTTTTTGTAAAGGGTCGAGAATTTCCATATCTAACTAAAAAATGATATTAAGGGATAAATATGGACTAAATTGTTGTAGCTATCTGCGATCATATTAAAATTTTGATATAAATCATAGTTTTAGAAATTAAACAAATATGTAATATATGACAAAATCTTTATTTATGAACAAAACTCAATGAAATTTTCAACGCTTGTTAAATTTGTCATTTCAAATAAGAATATGCACAAAAAAATTGAAAAGGTCAAAGGGCATCCCGCAATTCCCAAAAATAGGAATGAAAATCCCAAAAATGGGATTTTTTACTTTTTTGCCCATAGGGTCCACATTTCTTTTAGGGCTGGGAAAATACTTTTGGAGTAAATAGAAAACATATTGAGGTTTCCAAAACTGCTTTCAGTTTTCTGATCCCAGCTTTGGGATTTTAGAACATGTCGCCCAAAGTTGAAGTTTTGATAAAAAATAGGTCATATTCGGAAGGACGCAGTGGCAACATTTTCAAAAAATAGGACAAGTTTTTTACGCCAAAGCGTTCTGCGTAAAGATACCTTTTAGAAAACTATAAAATTGTTATATGTTCTTAATAAAAATTTTATTTTATTAATAAAAGAGTTAAGACACATTTTTGGCAAAAAAACGCCAAAAATCTAAAATTTTTTGAATTTTTAAATTAAAAAACGTATATTTTTGGATCTGTAAACGATATTGATCTGAAATTTTTTGTATATTATTGGAAATTTTGTTGTCTAACTAACAAGAAAAAATTGAGTCCATGTGGTCCAAAATTACGCCCGGTATTCAAAAAAAGGCGGACCAAGGTATGGTAAATTTTGTATCACTAAATTTTTAAATGCCTATAACTCGGATATTATAAGAGATAAGTAGTATGTCCAAGCATGTTTTTTCAAGATCTCGTCGAGCGCTTTCACAAAATATAAAAATCTTTGTATTTGGGTGAAAAACAAAAAATGGCACGAGTTTAAAAATTTTACATGTCGTAGGTACCCTACTTTGAGCCGCCACAGCGCCGTCCCTGGGGCATCTGCAGGGTTCATCTTCAAAACTTAAACTCGAATACTCCTTGGCTACGCTCACGCCAAATTTTATCCCGATCGGATCAGCCGTTTAGAAATGCCAGATTTATTTCCAAAAAATTTCCATTCTGCCCCACTGTGCAATACTTCAAAAGTTTTTCGCGAAAATACCGGGATAATAGGACTTGAACGACGTTTTTTCACAAACACATAACTATTTTTTAATTTTTTACACAATTTTATCGCATTTAACAATCCGAAATATTTTTATTTTTCACAAACTAAAAAAATATTTTTTTAATTTTTTTGACAATAAATTTTTGTGTGTTGAAATTAAAATTGACAAAACAAAGTTGTATATTTTGGTATTGAAAATGAAAAAAATATTTAAAATAAACTTATTTTTTTGCAAAAAAAGTGATTTTAAGTCCGAAAAATATATTTATTAAATGTTTACTGATTAGATGTGGGCAAAATAAATTAAAAAAATCTGCGAATGTAGAAATTTAAATGTTATTTATTTTTCCTAAAATTTTTATGTACGATTTTATGCAAGTATGTATGTTTGGAAAGTGTGGTGAAAGTGGTTGGAGCTCCAATACTAATACAAAAATTCTACCAATACATACTTAGAGTTAGGTACCGAATGACAACTCCTTTACGTACCAATTGACAAGCCCCAATTTCTTTATATTCTTTGGTCAGGCCTCTGATATTAGGTTATGTCCCAGAGGAATACTACGAATCGTTTCTATTATTTTTTCCAATGCCAAATTTCTTAAATACCAATAAATTACAATGGATATACAAATCATCAAAGTCTAAAGTGTAGTTTTTGAGAAAATTTTATTTTCACCACAAAATAAGCTCGTTTATATTATTTAACCCCCCCCCATTGAATGTAACTTAAAATTTGATCCCCAATTTTATAAAAAAATTTTTGGGGTAATTTTCCATTTTTAAAAATTGTATATATTTCACCGTCCAACACTCAAAATTAGAAATTTAATGGAGAAAAACTACGTTTTTAGTTTTTCATTTTGTGATCCTGTGTCCTTTTTAAAGGACTTCAAAGTTTTAAAAAGTGCATTTTTCAAGATATATTTAAAAATACTTCTACTGATCAACCAAAGCCAAATTTGATGTCAAGCAAACAAGAAGAGTTGTAAAATATTTTATGTTATTTTTATTTTATTCTGCCAGGTTCAAAAGATGTAAAAAATGTCTTTCAATTTTGTTAGAAAAAAATAAAATTGAAAACATTAATAGATATTAGCTTTGTTCCAGAACTTTTCTGGCTAAAGAGAATTAATGAATTTTCTCTTCGTACTTATAAAAAGTACGGGAACAGAAAAAACAAAATTTCTCTTTCAATAAATTTGTATTGAAGTTTATTCATATAAATTTCAATTGAAATTAAAATAAAATTGAAAAACTACAATCACACATACTTATTTATGAAAATAAATAAAAAAATATCCAACATTTTTTGTTTCCAATGTATTTTTTTAAACAAATAATTTATTTGACAATTTTTTTTTCTATTTGCCAGGAAAAAATTTTCTGGCTAAAACCTGCAAGTTCTGGCAAAGAGAAAATAATTTTAATTGCTCAAATTTGTTCTCTTTTACAATTTCTGGTAAAAACCTGCAAACTTCACAAGTAAAGGAACAAAGCTATTAAAGGATATAAATTTTAAAATACAGTTTTGATATCTTTTTATCCTGACAGTATAAAATAAAAATTATACAAAATATATTCCAACTCTTTTTGTTCTCTTGACATCAAATTTGGCATTGTTTGATCAGTAGAAATATTTTAAAATATTTTTTGAAGGATCACGAAATGAAAAACTAACAACTAACTCAGTTATTCTCCATTAAATTTATAGTATCAGACGTATATCATCTGGTTGATGTATTTGTAATCTGTGTATCTTTGGTGCCATTTTTCGCAGAGCTATTTTCGGTAACATATTGTGACATACCATTTTGGTAACATAATATTACATAATTTGAAAAGCGTAATTTAAGCACTTAAAATATATACCTATACTGTTCACTATTACTTAATTACATATAACATAACAAACCTGTCGTAGTTTAACTTCCTTCCCAATTAGATGGGTGCTCATCATTACTGCAAATATATGAATGCCTTCGGGTGGAAATGCATATGCAGTACAGTCTTCCACACATTGCCCTTCCGACACCACCTGATTCTGCCCAGGTGGTATTATATGTCGCCAATTTGGATCCATGCCTAAATGCATACAAAATAGAATTAAAATGGAGAAGGGTAAATAAATGTTTATTCGATAAAAATCATTAGAAATATAGCTAGATATCAAATTAAACAATTGAACCACCATCAAAACGTATACCGAAAAATAATGAGTATTTCGGAAGTCTCCCCTATATTTATATAAACATTGATAATTAGGCATTGATCCCTTTTATATCATTCAAACAATTTAGTAATTTATTAGATTTATGTTGATATTTATTATTCATCATATGTCAAATATTAGGAGTAGGGCATTTATGGGAAATAATGTCAATTATCGGTCGATTTTAGTTTTTATTAAACTTATTTATGAGGGATTAAATTTTACAGAGAGATTTTCTAGTTTCTATAAATATACCCCCATCTATAAAAAGCAAGAAAGTACAGTCGGGCATGTCCATCCTTACATATCCTAAGCTGGAAGATTCAGTACTAGGCTAGGTTTAATGTTGGTTCGTCCCTTACAGAATTTGATAGAGCTATTTATGTTAAATAAATTTTGCCTATTTTTTACTAAATTATTTCAGGACTCGTAATATTGATCTATCACGATTGTTGTATAGTTATCATATTTATGGTAATATATTTCTGGGAAACATTTCAATGGTGGGTATATAAAATGATTTTAATCAGAATAAAAGTTTAAAAACGATTTCTTTCGATAGGGACGAACCCAACATTAGTGCTATTGGATTATACTTAATTTAGACAGAATTTTTCAACAAGATCGACCTAGAACTCTTTAACTTATTACATATATTGCTTTTAGTAAAATTGGCAATATCAAATTTATTTGACATTTTTTCAAAATGGGCCCTTTTTTCTTTTTTCTTCCAAAAAAAGTTTAGGTCTTTTCCTTTAAGATCGTGGCACCTCTTATGCAAGGTATAAAGATATTGAAATTGTAAAAACGGGAATGGATCTTACCATAAAAAGTTGATATGAAAAATCGTAAAGGTGGCTTCTTACACTGGGTATAGATAGTTTAAATACAATTTTCTCTTACCAATTGATAGCACTCCTGCATCATAAGGACGTAATACATGAGTAAAATGAATTTTTAGTCCAGAGTTGTCGGCCATTTGCCTCGCTGACAGTTGTTTTATATCAGGCTGTAAATTAATATAATGCGTTTCCATAAGATAATATTTGGATTGGCGAGATTCCATTGGGTAACCGGCCTCTTCTGGGAATGTAAAACTCTAAAATTAAATAAATTAGACTTATTATTTATTAAGAGTATTATATAATATTTACGAATGTTAATTGCTTTTTCTCATAAATTTTGATGATTTTCAAAATATTTATTAGGACCTTACTTTGAGAAAACCATAACAAGATATTTCATAGAGGTAAATATATTACATTATTAAATTATAAATGTATTTCTGGGGCTATGTCAAATATTCTTTCCATAAAACTATGAAATCTTAAAAAAAATTAATTACAATTCCTTTTTGTACTTATAGTAAACCTATTCAGTTCAGCAGGTGTGAAATTACTTGAAGATGATGTATATTATTGTTTGTAATTTAATTAATAAAAGTGTGTATTTTCTATATTTTGCATCGCGTGCAGTAAATAATTTCCGTTGTTATTTTGAATGAGATGAATAAAAGTAGAATCTGCGTTTATGAAAGCAATTTGTCATGATGATTTCAAAAAAATCCTCTTTATATCATATACCATAATTTCTCTAACATAATTTTCAATGAATGAATGTATGTATGTATATGTAAGTATACAACGTCATATTAAGGGTGGAATTTTATAAAAATATTTTTCAATATTTATACATACATATCGTCACCTGAAACGCAAACAGCCCTAACTAACCAAAAATTCAAAATCGATTTTATTGTTGATTATAATGTATTGCATCAAAACATATGTCCACACAAAAATTGGACTCCTCCGGCCAAAATTGCCGATTTCATTGACAAAAAACAAAAGGCCCTATCTACAAAAACATTTAAATATTAAAGGTAAAAAGTCCAATTTATCCATTTACTACAAGACTGACATAATCCGAAATTCGCGATTTTTGAACTGAGTACTAGAAAATGTGTGTCATATTAAGGCCTTTCATATTAGTTTGTCTATTTTCAAAAATTTTTATATTTTTAGCTGCGCGAGCAATCTTTCTTTGTAAATGTCAAAATTTAATCTCAAGTTTTCACTTATATTTGATAAGTAAAATGTTGTTTAAGTTCAGATGAGAAACATTTTAACATCTAATTTATGTATCAAATTATTTAAAATTTAGCTAAATTTCAAAAAACATTCAATGGTGTTTTACTCAAAATTAAGCACTAAGATCTTGTAGTGAGCGATATGCATGAATATATATTAGGTTGGGCCCTCTTTGTGTTGAGCATCTGAATATATTTAAGTTTCCAACTTAAATAACACTGTGATACAAAGGAGAAGAAAAATAAAATTCATATGCACTCATATACCAATTCCATTTCGTTATAGTGTATATAGTACAAAAATACTTTAAGTTTTCCCCGATCACTGCGTTAACTTACTTTTTAAGAGCAAAAGTTATGAAAAGCGATATTTTTCACTTTGAAAAATCATAAGTTTGACAGTTTTGAACCGATTTTAAAATCTAATATTCCGTTTTAATGATACAAGTGTTTCGTTTTAATGCAAATAAAAAGAAATCGAATATTTACGGTTCAATGTCTGATCAAAAAGCAACGCTTGTAGCTTTAAAACAAAGTTTGAACATCGGTTAAAAATTGTCACACTTATGATTTCACATCTTTTGTTCTTAAAAAGTAAGCTAACGAAGTGATCGGAGAAAACTAAAAATATATTTTTACTATATGGTATAAACATCTTTAATAGTCTGGAATGTCCCAAAGGAGTGTCTATAAGGGATTTAATCAAATTTGTCAATAGTACTGTTTGGATCTTTCAGCTCTTCAGGAATTAAAATTGGATGAACTACTTGAAAATGTATTCGCTTAAGTGTTAGCGATTTTTTAGAGCACACTAATGTGCCTTTAAAAATGTTTACAATGTTCACATTTTCTAGCAAACACGAGAATATTGAGTACATACTTACACACATACATATATATTTTTTTGCGATTTGTTAAATTTGATGATAGAAAAATATATGTACTTACATTAGAGCCGCGTGACCACGAGGCAACTATAGCATTACATGCTAATGGAATATCACGAGCACCCATGCACTGTCTTCCTTGTTCGCGTGCCATTTCCTCCAGTTCCTGATGCATGCCATGGCATTCTCTTAGAGTTATGCGTTGTAAATAATGGACACTGGATGGAGAATCGTATATGGGTTCATACTAATATCACAGAGAAATAAAAAAGAAATCAAAATAGAACAACACATGAAATGGAGATAAAAGAAAAAAAATTAACAATTTTTCAACCAGCAAAATGAACATGAAGTATAAATAAGAGATGAATAAAAAAGGAAAAAAAGTTATGTTGCACATACAACAACGCTTATGTGTGTGTAGATAGACAGATGGAGATGAGCGCATTGATGATTTAGCATGATTTGCAAGTTGCAATAGCAATGCAATTAATGACTTAATGGAACATTTGAAACTCTTTTATTTTTATTGTTAGCCATGTTTTGTTATTGTACATATATACGGTACATGTCTATGAACATTAGAGTGTTCCGTTTTATAGGAATTCTGCTCAAATGATGCGTATATGCAGCATATTTGAAAATAAAGTAATATTTAAATTCCCTTCCAAATACACACATAAATATGAATGTATTAAAACACTCAATTGTTAGCAACAAATTCAATCAGGTATGTGATGGAATTCCAACGATTTCAAATCGACCGATATGTATGTAAATAATTTTAGTCCATACAACCAATTAACGTTTTTTTTCGAAAATATACCTATATGGATAATTTAAAAAAAAATGTTAACTTCGTATTTATATAAAGAATGTATGTACCAAATTTCGTCAAAATCAGAAAGGAAAATTTTTAAAATGTCCAATAAACATAAATATATATGTATGTATAATGTATGTATGTATAATGTACATACTAGGGTTGTCATTCGAATAAAAATTATTCGATTAATCGAGGAAAAAAATTAGTTTTTCACCGAACGATTGAAAAATTTCCAATTTAGAATAACGAATAATTCGAACAATTTTTGTCTATTATAGAACATTCGAATAATATTTGAATGTTACTTTTACTACTTTTTGCAGTTTATAAAATTTTTTAAAAATAAAATGGTTCTAGTTTTAAAAGTGGTTCTCTTCATTTTTTTTAAACGTTTGCAATAAGTGAAACAGTTAAACATTAATTAATTAATTTGGTTCTTAAAGTCAAGAGAAAGACAACAATTTCTAGGTATACTGAGCCCTGTTTCCTGGGCAAGAAGATACCGGTGATAGACACCGAAAATTAAGATGGAGACACCACATAGACGATAGGATCAAAAAAGCACATCGGTGTTGGGCGATATGTAGGAGAACTATAGCCATGAAATGGGGTCTTAGTCCTACTAGGACAAATTGGCTTTATAAAAGTGTAATTAGACAAATTCTGGCTTATGCTTCAATTATCTGGTTGAATTCTTTGGACAAAAAGTGTAATATCAAACTACAACATGGAGTTCAGCGTACATGATGCTTGGGTACAAGTGGTGTCATAAGCACAACGCCAAGCAAGGCTCTAGAAACGTTGCTAGATATTCTACCCAATGAAAGATAGAATGTCTTGGTCAAGCTGAACATTTTTTACGAACATTGATCGCGAAATTCTTAGGAATTACGGCCAGGAAATTGAGTTTCAGAACATTGAAAGATAATAAATTCAGTAGACACTATGTTGTTTTTTACCAACAAACCTTTTCCTTCTATGAAAAGCAGCTCACAACAGGCCCGATAGTGGCCTGTTTCTAATACTTTGATAAATAGTACGATTTTTCTTATATAAAACAGTTTGTAAAAACGTCTGCAAAACAGGTTAGTTAAACATCGTATATATCATTAAAAAGGCCCCAGCTTCCACTTTTAAATCCGCTGAGAAATTTAAAATAGGTTGAGATTCAACTAAGTTACTGATTTATAAGCGTATTAATATGGAAACCCGTTTTTTACCCGTATCTTAATATTTTGAAGGTGTTTGGCAATTTTTATTCGTTATTCATTCGAATAATCGAACTCGACTACTCGAATAAAGAAATATAGTACTTTTTTATTCAAATAATTTTAAACACGAATAATTGACAACCCTAGTACATATGTACATATGTATGTGCTGAAAATTACCAATCTTTCAATAGGCATCATAACAGCAAGTTTCGAAAAATGTAGTTTTACTGAACACTCTATTGTGACTAAATAAACATTTAAGTACATACCCTTATTAAATGATGTTTATGCTTCATGTCGTCCAATTTAAACATTTTACACCAAATTAACGAGTCATCAAATCTCGGCAGTTCAACATCTTCATTGCGTAGTTCCAGTATGCGAATATGTTCTAAATGCCGGTAGTGTATATGTGGTCGTTGTGTCAGCACTATTGGCCTATAAGGATGAAATGATGCTGCGGAATTTGGTAGTGGACTAGATCTCACAGACCCGTGTGGTGGATCATTCTCATTATACATGTATAGAATACGCATTGTATCATTCTAAAAAAAGGAAATTTATTGATACGAATTAAAACATATAGGAAATTCTCTTTTTATTTTAGATTTTAGACTTATAAAAACACAAATAATAACAAGTTAAATACCCTACACCTTAAACTGGTTTCATAAATTGTCAAATTTTATGGATTGATTCAAATTTACCTTAACATTTTACACTTACTTTCATTACGCCTTAAAATATGCTATTAAAAACAAAACTATCACTTAACACACTGTTATAGAACGCACTAAAAACAAGTTAGAGTGCTATATTCGGCTATGCCGAATCTTAAATACCCTCCACCAGCAAGCTACTTTTTATTAAAACCCATTTAACTATCTAATATTTAGATGACTTGGCAAAATTTTTGTTTCCGTATTGAGGGTACTAACATTTATGCATATGTCAAACTAATTTTTATTAGGTCGAGAAAAATGTATATTAATAGGCCAGTTTGAAAACATTTTAATATAATGATTTATCTGTACACAGAACATACTCATTTTGAATTTTATCCGGATATAATCATTTAATTACGAATTAAGTGATATTAAGTGATTTTCAGAAGTATACCTTATATGGGAGCTAAGACAACCTATGGACCGATCCGGGAAAAAAATTCCGTAGAATGATTTATATATACAAAATACACATTTATGTTCAATTTTATCCCGATAACATTTATAATCAATGTGCATTTAAGTAATTTTCGGAATTGGTCCTTATATGGGAGTTGTGACCAATTATCGACCGATAAGGAAAAAAATTCGTATAATATGCCAAAAAAATCAAGTCGAATTTTACTACAATAGATTTATTAATTAATGAAATATGTGCGTTTAGGTCATTTTCGGAAGTGGACTTTATATGTATAGGAGCTATGACCTCACACAAAACATATTTGTGTCGAATTTTATCAAGATATCTTTATTTGATAATGAAATATGTGCATTTAAGTGATTTTTTTGGAGTGGACCTTATATAGGAGCTATTAGCATATCCGGAAAAAATCTGGTAGAATGATTTATATGCTTACAAAACATATTCAAGTTGTATTTTATCCCGATAGCTTTATTATTCAAAGAAATATATGCGTTTAACTGATTTTCGTAAGTGGACCCTCTATGGGAGCCTATCCGGAAAAAATTTAGTTGAGTGACTCATATAAAGACAAAACATATTTGTATTAAATTTTATCAATATAAATCTATTTGACAATTAAATATGTGATTTTCGGAAGAGGGACTTATATGGGTGCTATGGTCAATAATGGACCGATCCGGGAAAAAAAAGTGGTAGAATGATTTATATGTACACCAAATATATTCAAGTCGAATTTTATCCTTATAGTTTTAGAATTTAATGAAATATATGCGTTTAAGTGATTTTCGGAAGTGGACTTTATATGGGAGCTATGACCAATTATGAGCCTATCCGGAAAAAATTTCGTAGAATGACTCATATAAAGACAAAATATATTTGTGTCCAATTTTATCAAGATTACTTCATTTGACAATGAAATATGTGCTTTTAAGTGATTTTCGGCAGTGGGCCTTATATGGGAGCTATGACCAATAATGGACCGATTCGTAAAAAATTGGTAGAATGATTTGAATATACACAAAACACATTCTTGTCGAATTTTATCCCAATAGCTTTAGAATTCAATGAAATATATGCGTTTAAGTGATTTTCGGAAGTGGACCTTATATGGGAGCTATGACCAATTATGGGCCTATCCAAAAAAAATTTAGTAGAGTAATTCATATTTAGACAAAATATATTTATGTCAAATTTTATCACGATAGCTTTATTTGACAATGAAATATGTGCTTTTAAGTGATTTTCGGAAGTGGGCCTTATATGGAAGCTATGACCTATAATGGACCGATCCGTAAAAAAATTTGTAGAATGATTTGTATGTATACAAAACATATTTGTGTCGAATTTTATCCCGATAGCTTTATAATTCAATGAAATATATGCGCTTAAGTGATTTTCGGAAGTGGACTTTATATGGGAGCCATGACCAATTATGGGCCTATCCTGAAAAAATTTCGTAGAATGATTCATATTTGCACTAAACATATTTGTGTCGAATTTTATCAAGATAGCTTTATTTGACAATGAAATATGAGCTTTTAAATGATTTTCGGAAGTGGGCCTTATATGGGAGCTATGACCAATTATGGACCGATTCGGAAAAAAATCGTAAATTGGTTTATACGTATACAAAATATATTCATGTTAAATTTTATCGTGATAGCTTTATTTATCAGTGAAATATGCGCGTTTGAGTGATTTTCGGAAGAGGACCTTATATGGGAGCTATGACCAATTGTGGACCGATACTAATCTACGTTGGTAGTATGATTTTTGTTGATATTTTATGTATATTTGAGGAAGTTATTAACGATAAATACATTTCCGGATATATGTACCTTTGTATGGGGGCTACGGGAAATTTTGGATCGATTGTTTTGATTTTCAACATAATTGCTCCCTGGGTAAAAAAATAACGTGTAACAAAATTCATCGAATTATCTTTTGTAGTTTCTGAGAAAATGACTTAATAATTACGAAAAAACGTAATTTTTTTCGAGGTAGTCTGAAATTTTTACTCATAACTTTTAACGTTGTGAACCGATTTTGCTGATTTTCAATACCAAACTGCTTAGGACAACAATGAATATTTTTTTGGTAAATTTGGTTTATTTCTTTTTCTTAGTTTTAACGTGAGCGTGTTTTAGGCAGACAGACAGACAGACGGACATAGCTAAATCGACTCAGAATTTCATAAGAATCAAGAATATATATACTTTGTTGGGTCTCAGGTGAATATTTCTAGGTGTTACACACGGAATGACAAACTTATATATACCCTCCATCACCACTGATGGTGGTGGAGAGTATAAAAATATTTATAATAATTTGTATATATGTATGAAAATATAAATTTCTGATATTCAGTATTAAACTTAAGAATATTATCAAAATTTTGATCGTGTTTGACAAAGACGGATGAGCAGAAGACGAACATAGCTAAATTGTCTCAGAAATTAATTTTTTTTTAAACAAAAAATTTCATTTAATTTGGTTTTTAAAAAAATATTAAAAATTTTAATTATTAAGATCGATCAGGAATCGAACCGGCGATGTTCAAGCTTGTCGATTCTCCGTTCAATCTATAACACCACTTCTTTATTTCAACTCTCGTTAACTAATATTTTCCATATAAAAATATCATGTTATTTTCTGTTTGTGCAAAACACTGCTGCTGAATAACTTTTATCAACACTGATGTTGCTGAATAGCATAAAAAATGAAACAGTAACAATTTCTCAATGTGATCATTTTATTTGATCGTGGGTTATCGACAGTTTTTTACACAAACAGGAAAGAAAATCTCTGTCAAGATCATTAGTTGACAAACAATCGTCAGACTTAATAGTGTAATGGATATGACGTAGAACTAGGAACTGAGAGATAGTGGGTTCAAACTCCTGTTTGATTTGGACGGTTTTTATTTAATTTTTTTCGAAAAAATAAATATTTTTAACTCCCTATGGTTTGTATATAACATTGTGGACCGATATCAATTTTCAACACAGTGGATCTGGATACACGTACCAAAAACTATATGTCTGACAAAGTTCATCAATATTTGTGCCAAATTTTTTATGAATATCATTATTTTGTAATGAGTAATATGCGCTTAAGTGATTCTCGAAAGGGGATCTTGTGTGGGAGCTACGACCAATTATGGACCTTTAGTAAAAAAATACAGTATTATTTCTGTATATACAAGCATTATTTGTGCCATATTTTTAATCTATATAGTTATTTGGTAATGAGTAAGGTGCGTTTAAGTGATTTTCGGAAGGGGACCTTGTATGGGAGCTATGGCCAATTATGAACCAATCGTAAACAAACTTTTTAGTAACATTTCCGTAGATAAAAGCAAGGTTTGTGCCACATTTTTTATATGTATATCATTATTTTGTAACGATTTAAATGCGTTTTAGTGGTTTTCTGCAGGGGACCTTGTATGGAACCTATGACCAAATATGGACCGATCGTAAAAAAATTTCAAGGTAACATTTCTGTATACAAAGGCAATATTTGTACCAATTGTATTGTATGTATATCATTATTTGGTAATGAGTTATGTGCCTTTAAGTGATTTTTGGAAGGGGACCTTATATGGAAGCTAAGACCAATTATGGACCGATTCCGAAAATTGTTTCCTTATTTGAATTCTATTGGCAAAAAGCTTTAATTTGTAAAATTTTGTAAAGATATCGGCATTATAACGGAAGTTATTAACAATAAATTAATTTCCGGGGATATATATGAAATTGTGAACCGATTTTTCCGATTTTTAACAATGTTGATCCTGGAACCAAGAGTTGTATCTTTGACAAAATTCATCAATTTATCTGCAGTAGTTTTTGTAAAAAGCACAAATAATTATGTGAAAAATCACAATTTTTTTCGAGGTTGTCTCAAATTTTTACTAATAAATCTGAACCTATTTCACCGATCTTCAATACCAAACTGCTTAGGATAACAATGAATATTTTGGGTGAATTTCATTGAGTTCCATTGCTTCGTTTTAACGTGAGCGTGTATTATACAGACAGACGGACATATCTGACTCAGAATTTCATAAGGATCAAGAATATATATACTTTGTTGGGTCTCAGATTAATATTTCTCAGTGTTACAAATGGAATGACAAACTTATATATACCCTATATCACCACTTATACCCTCTATCAGCACTTATTCGGCTGTGCCGAATTTTAAATACCATCCACCATAATCAGGTTACATAAATTATCAAATTTTAACGATTGATTAAAATTTACCATAAAATGTCTTTCATATTAAAAACATTTTCATTATGCCTTAAAAAATATCGTGTAGAAGAGAACTAGCAATTAAAAGAATATTTCATAACGTACTAAATTTAACGAATGCTAACACTATGCGACAAAAAAAATACCTGGGAAGTGACACTATTTTTCTGAAAGGTGGATCCGAGTAGGACAAGAATATGTTTTTTAAATTTGCCAAACACCTCCAAAATCTTGAGTTACAGGCAAAAACCCGCTTTTTCGTACCTTTAAGCACTTATAAGTCAGTAACTTAGTTGAATCTGAACTGATTTCAAGTTTATCTATGGATTTAGAAAGCAGAAGCTGAGGCCTTTATAATGACATATATTACGTTTATATATGTGTGAATTTCATCAGCAAACATATTTTTTATTTTAGTTATGCACCGTTGTCCAAGTTTGGAGTTGTTTTTTTAAATTATTTTATATAGGAACCGTACTATTTATCAATTGATTAGAAAACCCTGTCTATTCATAGGAAAATGCAACTTTGTTTTTAAAAATCCGTTAGCAATTGACGACGTTATTGATCTTTTTCTTAAGAAAATTGTTCATAAATTGATTTTCTGAAGGATGCTTTATATGGGGGATAGGGTTAAATATGGACCGATCCTCGAAAAATTTGGTGGAAGGATTTATGTTTATATAAAAGTTATTTATGCTGAATTTCATCGTGATATTAATATTTAGAGGAAAATTATTTAATTGAAGTCATTTTCTGAAGGAGGGTTTGTATGGGGACTAGGGTCAAATAAGACCGTATTGTCTAAAGAATCAGCAGTATCACTAAAAATTACAGCAAACTCATTTATACCGATTTTTGTATTGTTTGGACCTTATTTGACCCTAGTCCCCATTCAAATCCTCCTTAAGAAAGCGACTTTAATTCCATAATTCTCTTAATTATATCAATATCACGATGAAATTCAGCTTAAATAATTTTTATATAAATCTAAATCCTTCCTCCTAATTGTGGGAGGATCGGACCATATTTAGCCCTATCCCCTATCTTTCGGAAAATCAGCTTTGAAAAAATTTTGTATTAAGAAAGAGATCAATAATATCGTCACTTGTTAACGGATTTTTAAAAACAAAGTTGCGTTTTATTCATGAATAAACATGGGTTTCTAATCGGTTAATAAATAGTACGGTTCCTACATAAAATACTTTCAAAAAACATCTCCAAACTTGGACAACGGTGCAAAACTAAAATAAAAATATGTTTGCTGATGAAATTCATGAAAAATGGAAATACAAATGTATTTTAAATCTTTTTACATAATTCTGTAATTTGAAAGGTATAAGAAATTGTGATTCGATTTTCACGATTTTTTTACTGACAAAATTCATCATTGAACTGTAATAGTTTTTGTAAAAGACACACAAGAACAAGTTAGAGTGCTATATTCGGCTGTGCCGAATCTAAAATACCCTCTACCATATAAAAGTTATATAAATCATCAAATTTTAACGATAAATTTAAATTTACCATAACATATCCTTCATTTTCATTACGCCTTAAAATATACCATGTAATTCGGAACTAACACTTAACAGATGTTTACATAATGTAATAAATTTAACAAATATCATGGTTTAATAAATGTTTAATTTGTATGTATGTGAAAACGGAAATAAAGATATACTACAAAACTTTTTATGTAATTATACCCTTTACCTTCGTGAGAAGGGTATATATAAGTTTGTCATTCCGTTTGTAATTTCTATGATATAATTTTCCGACCCTATATGATATAATTTTCCGACCCTATAAAGTATATATATTCTGGATCCTTATAGATAGCGGAGTCGATTTAGCCATGTCCGTCTGTCTGTCTGTGTGTATGATGAAATCAGTTTTCAGAAGACCCCAGATATCTGCGAGATTCAAATTTCAATAATTCTATCGGAAATACAATCGATTTTCCGTTTAACGACTTATATATACTAAATACACATTTATGTCGAATTTTATCCCGATAACTTTGATTGTTAATGTGTGTTTAATTAATTTTCGGAAATGTTCCTTTATGGGAGTTGTGACCAATTATTGACCGATCAGGAAAAAAAATCGTATAATCATTTATATGCAAAAAAAAAAAAAAAACAGGTCGTATTTTACTGCAATAGATTTATTAATTAATGAAATATGTCTATCACCACTGATGGTGGTGGAGGGTATAAAAAAACAAATTGTCCTCCGCCAATGTGCAGAGTAGTCTCATTATTGTAGTAACACTGAAATTCCCTTTCGATAATGTGCAGACGAGTGTGATGTTAATCGTTTAATACTTCAGAAAATGTGCAGAAAAGTCTAACAAAAAGTTTGCCGATTATTCCGCAAAATGTCTAAGGGAAATTTAGAAATTCGTTAAAAATTCTGATAAAGTCTGAAAAAATTGTTTACTGGGTATGTATGTACATTAAGGAGGTCCTAAATTAGAAATTATTGATGTTAACTGTCTTGCTTTTTTTGTAAACAACATTTTGATTGTTGTTGTTTACATTATTTAGATGTAATTTAATTTCGAAAAACGAAAAAAAGTTTCGGTTAAATATAATTAGATTTATGATTCGGTTAATTACATTAAATATATACCTATCTCCGTAGAAGTTTAAAATGTATACATTTTTTTAACTAACACAAAAATTTATGATATTAAAAAAGGCCTCTCAAGACATCTCACAAGATATCAAAACTTCATATCATTCCTTTGCGCGAAACACGGAAAAATGTAAAAAGGGAATTTTTATCTATTAACTCATCTCTCCAGACACCCAGAACAAAAATTTTTACAAATGGTATCTGAGATAGAATCAAGCTTTCATTTTCTCCATCAAACGAGGCCACCCTAATGTACAAATATACATGCATATATGTATATGTAGGTTTGTAAGATGGGTTAGTATAAGTCTGCTTTCAATACACAAAAAGTTTAAATACATTTTCAATTCATTACTTTGAAAGCATAAAAAGTTTCGAAACTCATTTAATCAATGTTTTTAACAAAATATTTAAACAGCTTAAAACTTTTGAAAAAAAAGCGAAATGTGTCATTAATCAAGGTTATGGTGTGAGCGAGCATCTTTTAAAATTGTTTAATTTAATTTTACTTTTGTAATTCATTTATCATGTATAAAAGTTATTTACTTACCGTTATTGCTATGTCATGTACATTATCACAAGTATCAAGTTTCCTACGAAATCTTAGTACAGTATGCGTTCTATTTTCATAACCCAGCATAAGCATGTAGTCCTGTGAGGGGTCAACAATTGGCTCAGGGTCTCCATTACGTTTTTAAATGACGGTCCTGAAAATAAAATATTAAGTGATCCATAATTATAAAATATTTAACTCGTACTTTTAGGAATATTTAAATGGGTCTAAAATTGATATATCTATAAATTAGTAAAGAGAGCTTGCTGCCGAGTTTAAGTTTTGAATTTGGATCTCATGGGGCTTAGTCAGGCGTCCGCAAAGTAGGACACCTCGGGTATGTTAAATTTTTAAAACGATCCTGTTTCATCTATTACAGAATATAATCTCCTCATCAAGCGTTATAAAAACATCGTCGTGCCCATGGGTCCACCAGAGCACATGAGGTCCAAATTCTTAGTCGTTACGCTTGTAAATTTCAATACAATCGGCCAAACCATTAGATGTTATATAACTTTTTCCCTCTTTTTGTGTTTGTTTTAAGTGTGTCTATTTCCCTTATTAATGTTAATATATTTAAGTCAAATCAGTTGTGTTCTATAATTCAACAATTTTATATCCAAATAACTTCTAAAAAAGAGCATAAAAATTACTTCTTGAAAAACGTCTTCAGAAGTAATGAATTTAGAATAAAATAAAAAGAACATTCAGTACTTCCATAGAGTAAATTCTACTTATTTTTCGGTTCTTTGGAAGATGTTTTTTCACCTATTGATCCTAGCAAAAATTATCCAAAGGACTTTAGATAGCTATTTCTTTAATCATTCCAAAAATATTTTTTCAAAATTGGCATTTTTTGGCTCAAAAGAAAGCTTATCGGATTTACTCTGAGAGGTTTATAGTCGCTTAATAGGATCCGCGTTGAATGTCTATCAATAAAATTTTTAACTCAAGAACAAGATTTTGCAATATTTGGCACAGGTATTATTTTAATTTCCCCATTTTTTTTTAAAATGGGCGTTTTTCAAAAGAAAGCATAAACCATTTACCGTCATTATCCGGTACAGTTTGGTATTGAAAATCATCAAATCGGTCTAATAGATTCATAGATATAAGTAAAAATTTCAGACAACCACGAAAGAAATTGTGTTTTTTAACATATTTTTTTTACTTTTTACAAAAACTACTGCAGATAAACAGTGTTAAAAATCAGTTTTATAATACTTCATTACTTCCATACATTTTTCACACACATACAAATTATGTTAAATACTTAATATAGGTTAATATTTCTTAATTTAACAGTCTGTTATGTGGTAGTTCTGTTTTAATGGCATATTTAAATGCGTAATGAAAATGTGTATATAATATGTAAATATTGTAAAGGTAAATTTTTATCAATTCTTAAAATTTTATAATTTACAAACGTCATCAGTTTAAGATGGAGTGTATTTAAGATTCGGCAAAGCCAAATATAGCAGGTTATTTGAAAATCGAAAAAAAAATGTAATATTAATTTAATAACTGTGATTATTAGTGAATAAATAGTATTTTAATTTAGAGAATCAATTTAATAAGCAGAAATCGCACTTTCTCCTTTTGGGAAAATAATTACCGAGTGCTTTTACATAAGGCGGGGGAGTTTTCCAGACTCGGGGGAGTTTTCCAGATTTTTCCTACCGAGCGCGTCCCCGGGTGGCGGATAGGGGGTGGTGATGGACCATCTGTCCTCTCCCAGCTTTAATTTCACTTAAGCTGAGGGAGGGCAGATTGTCCACCACCTGGGAATATTATATTCCCCGCGGACCAAAAAACTGGAAAAAAAAAAAACAAATATGGAAAATGAAAATAAAAAGATAAAAGTTACGGTGCAGGGCCTAAATAACCCAGTACCGGCGGCAAGTGTTGATCTACTCGCGAGTCACGTGTCGTCGTCATCCTGCAATCGTGAGCAGAATACTACTACGGAGGTGGGTACCTTGGCCTCCGTGGCGGACAATGCGTCAAGTGTACAGCATGCCGCTGGCAAAAATATAGGGGTTGAAAGAGAACTCGGTACTCGAAAAGAGCTCTAAGCTACCTCAGCCTTTAAACATAGGTGAGGGTTCCGACTCTGAATCCTCAGATGATAATAATAATACCATTATAGCAAATCCCAAAAGGATGAAGTAGAGCAAATGGTTGAAAGAGGTGAGTGATAGCATAGCTAAACTACCTATTACTAAGAAAAGACTTTCTGGAGCACAGAGGAGGAAGTTGAAAAAGATGCTTCAGGAAATCATAGTTAGTCAATCCCACGACACTCCAAAGGAAAAATCGGACTCTCTCACAAGATCTGAGGCAAAAAGGATCAGGTCTCCCGAGGAGTTGACAACTGAGAATAAACCTAAGAAGAAAAAGAGCTCCCCATCTTCTAATACACAGTCGAAGCCAAGCCATACTTCACTCAAAGGAATCTCAAGTGAGAATCCTGCGAGTAAGGGTGACAACGCCAAGCCAGATATTCCGAAGACGAACACGTCGGCGAAATCAACCTCGAAGATAAGGGAATCTCAAAAGAAGCCCCGAAAAACGAGGAAGGAGAAGCTAGACGGAGGAAAAGGAAAAGAGCCGCCATCTTACGCCAAAGTTGCCAGAAGTAGGCACCGGGACGATCTCTGCTATGCAGTTTACGATGCCGGTAATCCGACAGGCAAAATTCCAATAGACCAACAGAGTAAAATAGAAGACCTGGTCAACAATAAGATAGTGGACCATGCAATCGCTTCAAAGGGCAAACAACCAATAGAGAGCGAGAGCTGCGAGTTCAGCATGGGCGTGATGTTGATGAGGTTGGCATCTCACCAATGTGTTAGCACCCTAAAGAACTTGGTGGAAAGTATCCCTCCTCCCTGGGACGGCGCTAGGCTGGGACTGGCAAAGAAGAGCGAGCTTCCGGTGCTCCTAAAGTCCACTGTCTACATAAAAGGATGGGGCAGTAAACTGGCTAATGAACGTATACTGGAAATTCTTGGAGGTCAAAATGCTGAGCTGGCCGTGGAAAAATGGGATGTCTTTTACAGGAAAGAAGAACCTGAGGGAACTTTATTTGTAATAGGTATCGACCAGAAATCCATGGCTAGTCTTGCCAAGAATAAAGGTAGGGCTTACTTCGCCTATAAATCTTTCATATTCAAAATTGGGAAGGTGCCGATTGGAAGGGCTGTTACAACAAGCCTCGGAAAGGACACTAAAAAACCTAGGACCACAGCATCAGTATCCACTACTGATAACGTTGAGGAGTCAAATCCTAAAATCGAGGAATTTACCATTAACTCGCCAGAAGAAAGTGTAGTTGCCCTTTCCAAAATTGGGAAGGCGCGATTGAAAGAGCTGTCAAAACCGGCCCCGACAAGGACACTAAAAACACCTAAGACAGTACCCAAAGCATCATTAGCAAGTACTAGCAATGTTGAGGAGTCAAATCCTAAAAGCGAGGAGGAAAATCACTCACCCGCCAGAAGACAGACCAGCAATGCTCTCCAGAATTGGGAATGTGTCTATTAAAAATACTGCTATTCCTATGCCTGATAAGGACACCGCAGTGCCATCAACAGTACTCACTGCATTAATAGCCACTTCAGGCTATCCGGAGGAGTCAAATCCAAAGAGCGAGGAGGTGACCACCAACTCGCTGGAAGACAGTTTAATGGATGACCATGATTGAGGTTATCCAAATAAACCTCCATCGGAGCGAGACAGCTACCAACGCTCTGATGGCTAAAATCAACACAGGTAAAATACATATAGCTTTAATCCAGGAACCTTGGACGATTCGCAACAAGGTTTCTGGATTAAATCACGTAAATTTCCAACTTTTCTACGCTGATACAGGATCTCGCCCTAGAACATGTATCTTATGTCACAAGAACTTATGTTTTCTCCTCTCAACAGGATTATCAACATCGGATGCAACGGTGCTGAAGCAAGGTCGTGGCAACATATTCCTTGCATCTATTTACCTGCCTTTCGATTCTCCGACACTACCACCAACGTCGGATCTGATGAAACTGGTTGAAGAGGCACAAAGGAAAAATAAGAAAATTGTAATAGGTTGTGATGCCAACTCGCACCATGTAGCTTGGGGTAGTACAAACACCAATCGCAGGGGACAAGCCCTCATGGATTTCTTTAATACTAAAGACTTGATAACATTGAACTTAGGTAATAAAGCTACCTTCGTCAATAGAATCAGAGAAGAAGTATTAGATATAACTATATGTTCAGAAGAGCTTATAAACGAAATTCAGGATTGGAGAGTTTCGGACGAGCACTCCTTTTCTGATCATCGGTACATAAGATTTAAAATACTAAGGCCACCACCAAAGCCGATAAAGTTTCGGAATAAGTCTAAAACCAATTGGACAATGTTCGGGACCTTACTAAAGAAACCGTTTAGGTCAGGACACTTTTCAATGTCGAAATAAAGAGGATATAGATGCCAAAGTGGAAACGTTCACAAGTGCCCCTGGTTGAATCGTTCGAGGACAGCTGCCCTCTGCGAGAGCGGAGATCTGCCCAGGAAAACCCTGGGTAACTGGGGAGATCCGGAACCTTGGGAAGACTCTTCGCAAACTATTTAACGGGCACGGCGTAAAAAGACCGCAGTATACTGGGATGAGTATCGTAATAAACTTGGTGAATATAAGAAAATCGTTCGAAAAGCCAAACGAGACTCCTGGAAACTTTTCTGTGAACAGGTAGATAGCGTAAATGACGTATCGAAGATAAAAAAATTCCTATCCAAAACTCATGTCCAACCGGAATCTATGATCGATGACACGGGCAGGAGGCTTGAGGATATGGAGGAGACAATGAAACTCCTAATGGATTCTCATTTCCCACCCGGTATATCGAATAACATAGATGAACCGATATTGGAGGAAGGGGAGGGTAACACGGAAATAGTTATTACAACTGACATGGTTAAAGGGGCAATCAAGAGCTTTGCTCCCTATAAAGCTGCAGGGCCGGATGGAATTTTCGGTTCACAATTTTTTATATCTATCATACAAAATTATATAAAAGGTTTTAAAATCTTTATTTCCATTTTTCACACACATTCAAATATATTAAAATATTTAAAATTTTATAATTTCTATAACATGTTGATAGTGGTGG